TTGAAGGTAATGAGTTCAAGTGTAGAAAGGAAGAAAAGAAGGTGAAGGAGACAAGCCCAGGGCAAGAGAAGAAGGAATTGGGGGTGGTAATAAACCAGGCAGATTGAAGAAATTAGGACCATAGGCACCAGGTCATATAATATGTGAGCAGTATTCAATTGTAATGTGAGTAGTCAAAGAGATTGAATCTATCTCTGACATTTGCTTATTTGATTTCTTGATTACGGGTCTTCTGTTTCCTAGAAAATTGTGATTATTAATCATTCCAGTAAAAACTGCTGAATTCAGGTTTTATCTGTGTGGCACTAGAGAAGATTGAAAGAGATTTGAAGTTCCCAAGGGACAAAGTAGATTTTACAAAACAGAAAGAGGCCAATTTATTCATTTGCAATGGGAAATAACCTGTCTCCTGGATTGTAAATTCTTGAAAGAGCATTTTGGTGAGCAGGAATTCTTGGCAAGTGATGGGGAAGTGAGATTTTGAGAGGTGGCTCATCTTCCTTACTTTAGAGATGTTTTTCTGGACCACAGAAGAAATACTGGAATCTTTCGGGAGAAAATATATTTTCTCTTTTGTTCTGAGTAGGAAAGATTTAATATCAAGTTTAGATGGTTTTCCTGAACATTATAGTTTTTGTTATCTTATTTTCTCTTCTTTTTGCTTTGAAGCATGGGTTTCTACTCTATCTTTCCTTATAGTACCTATTTTGAGCAAAACTGTGGAGATGAATGGAAGAGTGTTTACAGAAAGCACTGAAGTTTCACTTGTTTTGTTTTGTTTTCCAGGCTCAGATGCTGATCTCATCATTGCCCTCCCCACTGGAGTGGGATCCTAAACCTGGGTTGTGATTTAACAGTGAGCTCCATGGCAACCTTAAACTCCAGTAATACCCTGTCCTCCACATTCTATCTCACAGGTATCCCCGGCTATGAGGAATTTCACCACTGGATATCCATCCCATTCTGTGTCCTCTACCTTGTTGGAATAATGGGCAACTGCACCATCCTGCATATTGTTCGGACGGACCCCAGGCTCCACGAGCCCATGTACTACTTCCTGGCCATGCTCTCCCTCACTGACATGGGCATGTCCATGCCCACAATGATATCACTCTTCAGGGTGTTGTGGTCCATTTCCAGGGAAATCCAGTTCAATATCTGTGTGGTCCAAATGTTTTTTATTCACACTTTCTCTTTCACAGAATCATCCGTGCTCTTGGCTATGGCCTTTGACCGCTATGTGGCTATCTGCCACCCTCTACGATATGCTACCGTTCTCACACCAAGACTTATTGCTAAAATTGGAATTGCAGCCCTGATTAAGAGTGCCTTTGCCATGATTCCACTTCTGGCCCAGTTGGCCTTCTTTCCTTTCTGTCACTCCCACACCCTTTCTCATTCCTATTGTCTACACCAGGACATGATTCGCCTTGCCTGTGCTGACACCAAGTTTAATGTTATATATGGATTGGTTCTGATCACTGTGCTGTGGGGCATGGACTCTCTGGGTATTTTTGTGTCTTATATGTGCATCCTTCAGTCAATATTAAGAATTGCATCACGTGAGGGGAGGCTTAAGGCTCTCAACACATGTGCATCCCACATCTGTGTTGTACTCATCCTATATGTGCCTATGATTGGGCTCTCTATCGTCCATCGTTTTGCCAAACACTCTTCCCCACTCATCCATATCTTCATGGCTCACATCTACTTATTGGTCCCACCTGTGCTCAATCCAATCATCTATAGTGTGAAGACCAAACAGATCCGCCAAGGAGTACTCCATATGCTTTTCCCCACAAAAGTCAGTTCTACTGTGATGTAGACATGTCCCAAAACAATGATGACATCAACAAAATGACTTAAACACATACTGGTTTTTGTATTCTAGGTATGTTAGCATCATAGTTGCCAATAAAAGAGTAAATAGCAGAAATAAAGGCAACAGAGCATCATGGGAAGGTCCTAAAGGAGGCAGTTCATGTCTACTAGAAACATACAGCTTGACTTAATGTGTTCTTTACAAATTCCCTCTAAATATGATTATTTTGGAGCAGAGTGTGTTAGAAATCATTTCCATCTATTCCCTTCAATTTTTAATCCCAACCCCTTGCAAGATAAGCATTTATCTATTAATTTTTCATGAAATATATTAAACCCATGTATCTTTGTTTCCTGATACTCTGTGTTGTCAGAGAATTTAATATTACCTTTCTTGTTTTATCAGTGTCTTTGTGTATATATACTTTTTCTTTCTTTCTTAACAGTGGGAAAAATCTTATCTTGACATAAGAGCATATTAGGACTTGAAGCAGAAGTTATCAATCTTCATAGTGCATCAGCATCATCTTTTAAAAGTTTATACACATGTTCTGCCCTTTTTGAGGTTATTTTGTTTCTTTTTTTTATTAATTTTTATGTTGTGTTAGTCATCATATTATATTTACTTTCCTTAGGAATAGAAAGGGCCAGGGCTATTGAGTACAGCAACAAAGACAGGTAATGAAATTTTTATAGATAGTTTTTGAAAGATAAAACTCAAGGAGACGGAAGTTGGGGGAAATTGGAGGGGGAGATGAACCATGAGAGACTGTGGACTCTGAGAAACAAACTGAAGGTTTTGGAGGGGAGGGTGGTGGAAGGTTGGGTGAGCCTGGTGGTGGGTATTGCTAAGGGCACGCATTGCATGGAGCACTTGGTGTGGTGCATAAATGATGAATTCTGGAACACTGAAAAGAAATTTAAAAAATAAATAAAAAATTAAAAAAAAAACTCAAGCAGATATTCCTAGTGCTGGGTTTCCTTAGTCTTCCCTGAGGGAATAAATATTTTTGTCTTTATTTGGAATCCTTAATACTTTCATTTCCATAGATCTATTTCCCTTATCAAGTGTCCCCGCCTGAGCAGGCACTGCAATCGATTTGTTATTCCCACAATGATTTAGCACAGATTCCCAATTCTTTTTGCAATTTATAGAGAAGAATAAGAGAAAGAGATGCTATTGATTTACCTAAGTTTCTTTTTTAAATTATTATTATGTTATGTTAGTCACCACACAGTACATCGTTTTTGATGTAGTGTTCCGTGATTCATTGTTTACATATAACACCTAGTGCTCCAAGCAATACGTGTCCTCCTTAATAACCAACACTTGGCTAACCCATTCTCCCACCTTCTCCCCTCTGAAACTCTGTTTGTTTCCCATAGTCCATAGACTCTCATGGTTCTTCTCCCCCTCTGATTCCATAACCCTTCATTTTTCCCTTCTTTCTCCCAATGTCCTCCATGCTATTCCTTATGTTCCACAAATAAGTGAAACCATATGATAATTGTCTTTCTCTGCTTGACTTGTTTCACTTAGCATAATACCCTCCAGTTCCATCCATGCTATGCAAAATTTGGGTATTTATCCTTTATGATATTTGAATAGTATTCCATTGTATATATGGACCACATCTTCTTTATCCATTTGTCTGTTGAAGGGCATCTCAGCTCTTTCCACACTTTGACTATTGTGTACATTGCTGCTATGAACATTGGGGTGCATGTGGCCCTTTTTTCACTACATCTGTATCTTTGGGGTAAATATATAGTAGGGCAATTGCTGGATATTTGGATAATTGGTCATTTGGATAATTGCTGGGTCATAGAGTAGCTCTATTTTTTTTTTTTTTTAAGGAATCTCCACACTGTTTTCCAAAGTGGCTATCCAACTTGCATTCCCACCAACAGTGTGAGAGTGTTCCCCTTTCTCCAAATCCTCTCCAAAATTTATTGTTTCTTGTCTTGTCAATTTTTGCCATTCTAACTGGTATAAGGTGGTATCTCAATGTGGTTTTGTTTTGCATTTCCCTGATGGCTAATGATGTTAAGCATTTTTTCATGTTTCAATTAAAGTTCATGGGAAACTCCAATAATGTTCTTTCCTTTGATCATTTCTGTTAATATATATAATCCCAACCCCAAGACACAGCTTCCAGTAGTCAAGTGATAATTGTTCATGTGTATGGATAAACCACCTTAATTTGGAGCAGAGTATATAAAACTGTCATTACTAGCTATGATTTATGGTGACAATTATACATGAACAGACCAAAGAAATATACACATTATTAATTAAGAGGAGTCTATCTTATAAGTTTACTTGAGGGGAAAAATAACAATTGACTCATTAAATGTTGATGAGCCAGACAAGTGACAATTTATTGCAGTGGTTAGAGAATACAAGTAAGGTGAGATTATTCCTTTCATGAAGACAAATAATTATGATGCTGCTCAGTGGTTATAGATGTAAAACAATGCAGTTTATCTTCATATGTATTTTTATTTTCAGGTTAATTATATTTGTACCTTTAGGTAATCCTTGAATCTGAAGTCACATACCCTCTTAGTTCAAAGTGTTTTAGTAAATCACCTATTTTATTAATTTTATGTTTTAAAGACTTTATTTATTCTTTTTTATATATTTATTTGAGAGTGAGAGAATATGTGTATGAGGGGGTATGGGACAGAGGGAAGGGAGAGAATTTTAAGCAGACTCCATGCTCAGCATGGGGTGGAGGTAAGACTGGATCTCATAACCCTGAGATTATGACTTAAGCCATAACCAAGAGTCCCATGCTTAACTGACTGAGACACTCAGGCACCCTAGTAAGTTACCTATTTTAATTCATCAATCTGAAATTATCATGAAATTCTTCTATTGAAACCCATGAACCATTTTATCCACCAAATTTGAGAAATTATTTAGTATCAGTCAGAAAACACTGGATAATATAAAACTATGCTGCATTTCCCACCAAGAAACATTCAAGGCAGGGTTCAACAATATGATATTCATTTAGAATGTTCCTATGTGCCAAATATAGGTCTCAGCCTCCCTTTGCTGTTGATCTCACAGAGTCATGTCTAATCACAGATATCCTGTAGTTCCAAGAGAGAAATCAACAATGCAACTGCTTTCCCCTATGGCCCTTAAGACTATGTACTTTATTCCTTGTTTAGATATGACCTTGATTTTTTTTGTCTAATTTGTGGATTATGTCACAAATAATTTGGGACTGTATATTTATTTCTTGATTCTTTTAATACATATTTTGTAGATCACATTTATGCTGGGTTTCTTATTAGTATGGATACTCAGTGAAAGATACATGTTAATTAAAGAGATATATATTCTACAGTAAAAAAAAAAATAAGAAAGAAAAAGAAAAAAAAATGTTTCCAGGGTAAGATAAGGACATTGAGTTAAAAAAATAAAGAGTTCTGGAATGATAAAAAAGGTGAAAATGACAAATGACAAATAAAAATAACCATGGCAGAAAATCTCCATTGGCTTTCCAGAGTGTCCAGACAGAATGTATGGGGTTGGCAGTAGATTGTTTACAGGCACACGTGAGGCAATGAGGTAAATTTACAAGACCTTACTTTACCTTACAACCATTTAAAATTACTATGAATTTCCTGTCATATCCAGAAATCTTTGTAAGTATAATGTTGTAGAAATCTATTTGTTGGTTTTTTTCCTCAGTAAATACAGGAAAGTTACAGAAATCAGCAATTTCTCATTAAGGTATCAGCATTTCTTATGAGATGAGAAATATATAAGCCCCTGTAGCCTGTGGGAAGTTGTAGTACTGGCTCATGAGGATCTCCTTCTTATTCTTGCCAGAATATGCTGCAAATGCAACTCACCTGAGGGAGTTATTTCTCGTTCTTGCCATTATTTTAATGACTCCTTGAAGGTCAAAACTATTTAAAGTGAGTACTGTTCAAATAAATGTATCTTCCCTGTAAAAAACTTCTCAGCAGCACACTCCCCAATAGATACGGAGTCAACAGCCTATTTTTACTTAAGTTTAGTTACATAATTTCATGAATCAGGGTAATGCTAATTATCAAATAAAAATATGAGATAAGAGGTAGTACCTAGCATGCCATGACAAAAGTTCATTTCAGATTTTCAGTCTGTTCTTTAACTTCTGGCCTAGATTTCTAGGCTTTATATGTGTGCCTATCATTAGATGTCAAAGTGGTTGAGTCAGTGCATGGTAAAGTAGGATAATACATTGTAAAGTAATATCTAAATATAAAACTTTCACAAGTGAAAGCTGAAAAAGTTATATAATTTCAAAGATATCTTGGAAAAAGTCATGGAAGAGACATTCATGGAAGATATCATCAGAAGTTACATTGCAGAATGCATGGGGTCAGATGAAAACATGGCCTCTACTGGATGCCTTATGATTTGCACTCTACATCTTCCAACTAATCCGCTGGTTTCCATGGATATTGGGGCTCTCTAACAACATAGATGACTGAGAGCTCACCTTTTATTTGTATGATTATTTTTCATCTATCTGCATTGATTTACTTGAGGGAAATGAAAAACCAAAAGATACTGTTAGTACCTTAAAAAACTTCCAGATGACTCTTAATCTCACAAAACAAACTGAGGGTTGATGGAGAGAGGGGGGTTGGGAGAAGGGGGGTGGGGTTATGGACATTGGGGAGGGTATGTGCTATGGTGAGTGCTGTGAAGTGTGTAAACCTGGCGATTCACAGACCTGTACCCCTGGGGATAAAAATATATGTTTATAAAAAATAAAATTTTAAAAAAAAGTAAAAAAAAAAAAACTTCCAGAAGAGTGAAAGATAAATATGCACATGGATATTGTGAACATATGAATATTTCTCCAAGATATATGTTTTCTTTACTCAAGTTAGAAGCTGATTTCATAAGGATTATTCCAGAAATATATAAGTGACCCGAAAGCACTCTCTGCTATAATCTTAAGAGACTACCTAGAATACGGGTACGTATCTCCTGGGTTTTAACACAGTATACAACAGGGTTGAGAACAGGAGGAATCAGTAGGTATACATAACCCATGATAATGTGCACCAGGGGTGGAACATGTTTCCCAAAGCGATGGATAATGGATACCCCCAGCATAGGGACATAGACCAGCAGCACAGCACAAATGTGGGAGACACAAGTGTTAAGTGCCTTGAATTGTTCTTCCCGGGAGGCAATGCTTAGCACAGTGATCAGAATCTTCACATAAGAGAGGAGAATGAGTACGGAGTCTACTCCAAAGGTGATGAGAATGATGATGAGGCCATAGATGCTATTTATTCGGTGGTCAGAACAGGAGAGCTTAATGATATCTGGATGCAGGCAGTAGGAGTGGGAGAGCACATTAGCCTTACAAAACCTGAGTCGCTTAATGAGAAAGGGTCCTGGAAAGATGACAACCACAGCCCGTAGCAGAAGCCCCACACCTATCTTGGCAATGGTGGAATCAGTCAAAATAGTAGTGTACCTCAGTGGGTCGGAGATGGCCACATAGCGGTCAAAAGCCATGGTGAGGAGGATGCCTGACTCCATTAGGGAAAACACATGAATGAAGAACATCTGGATGAGGCAGGCATCAAAGTCTATTTCACGAATATTAAGCCAGAAAAGCTTGAGTAGTGTGGGCAGGGTGGCAGCACAGAGTCCCAGGTCTGTAGCAGCCAACATGGAGAGAAAAAGGTACATGGGTGCATGAAGTGACTGTTCTACCCGAATAACCACCAAGATGGTGATGTTCCCCATTAGGGCAATCAGGTAGAGGGCACAAAACAAGATGGAAATCACTGGATGTGAGTCTTCCAGACCAGGGAAACCACTCAACAGAAAGGGTCTGTAGGTACTACCATTGAAAAAGACCATGACGTGTCGTTTGGAGTAATCAATAGTCTTTGGGTCCGGAGTAAACCAGTCAGGATTAGCACACCATCAACATGAGCCTTATGTCACGAAGCTGACATTCTGTGGATATGCCGTTCACTATATAAATTCCGTTCACCACCTACTCAAAGCTGTAATCAAAGAGAAACATGCAGGCACTAGTAAACTTTCAGACAAGAGCTCATAATAAGAAACTCGTATCAGTATGTATTTTCCCCAAATAACAAGACATGAAATATTGTGTAAAAACATAGTCTCTAATTTCTAACATTTCTAATATAAAGTGTGGTATGGTTTCTAGCAGAGAGCAACCTGAAACTTGTTTCAGGATTAAAGTCTAAACAAATAGGTGCAAATTGGAAAAAAACTCTCCGGTCTTCTTATGCTTGTGCTCCCTCTTCAGTCCACTAAGAGAGTCAAGTGCTGAAAGTAGGGAAGTGTGGATGTCATCCACACAGAGTTCCTATCTTTGCAAAGAGAACCGCCTCAGATCCCTGATTACATTAGAATCTCTATCAGTACAGAAGCTCAGGGCCCTGTTAGGAGATGATGCCGACTCCATTATTCCTGTATCTTTATTCTCTCTCAACTTCATTTTGAAAGTGTGGACCAAAGAACAAGACTGGAGTCCAAGAAGTCCATATTCTGTTCCTCATCTGACACTAACTATATGATAGTGACTAAGTTGCTTCTGATCTCTGAACTAAGTTTTTTTTTTTAAATTTTTAAAGTATTTAAGTGATGTGAAGTTAAGTAAATGATCTTCTAAAGACTCTTGCCAAGAGGATCTATTTAGTTAATTTATAATTTTTTTAACAAATAAATATTTAAAAATGTGTTATGTACCTACAAAACTGCCCATCCTAGATATTGCCTTGTGCAATCAAAATATAAAGCGGACCAGATTACAATGCTATGCAGCTACATGTATCTTGTGCTGGGAAAGCTCCCTGGAAGGGAATATAAGAGGTCATATTTTAAGTGGTCCTAAAGGTGGGGAAAAAGTGCCCCCATTGGGTTCTGTGATGGGATAGGAAAATTCCATAAAGATAGAAAAACCATGAAGCAAAGGAGAGTATGAAAAGTTCTGGAATTTGTAACAATTTGCAGAATAAGTTTTGGATATAGATAAAGCCTTGATATGAGAAGCATTATGAAACAAGACAGGAGTAAGTAATCTTAAAAAAAATCCATATTATTCCTAAATAAATTAACGTAAGTGCTAATTTTGAATGAGTGTGTGTGTGTGTGTGTGTGTGTGTGTGTTTGAGAGGGTGAATGGTATGTTCATGTTATTAAAAGATGATTCTAGTTGCTCTGTGGTCAATTAATTGCATGAGAAAATTTTATAATTCTCAGTAAGGTTATTCCCCTGTTTGGGAAGCTGTATATGGATAACAATAGCTAAATTCTGCTGAAAGGGACTTTATCTCTGGGACTGTAACAACTTTAAAGATCATCTCCATAAAATATATGAGACCCCTATGAAAAAAATTCTTATTCACTCTTACTTTTCTGATGAAGTATCAAGCTTTTAGAAAGAAAGTGACTTCCTTCAGAAATAGCAATTAAGCTGAAAGATAGTTGAATTCAGTGGAGGCAAGAAAATACACAATCTATTAATTTTGCCATACTATGACTGATTTCCTAAATGGACCATCTCAGTACAAAGGAAAACACGGGGTTTTGCTTGGCTTCAGTGGTTGGATGGCCTTGGGCAAACAATTTTACCTCTTTGAGCCCAAGGTTTGTACCTTCACATTATGGATAGTAACAGTAATAATGTCTATAACATATGAGTTCTGTGAGAAGTAGATGAGATGATACATATTAAGAATATATAACCTAGTCTGGTACGAAGGATCTTCTTAGAAATATTGGTTATTAAGAATATTTCTGAGGAGAGTGCCACATGTTTCTATGCTATATCAAAGAAAGCAAATAGGTCACCTGAGTCTGTGTTGCTAGCTACAGAAACAATTAGGAGGTAAGCACCATACATTTCATAAACAAGATCCCATGAATTCTTCCTATCAGGGCATGGCATTCCCTAGAGACTTACTGATCATTGCTTGCTTACACCTAATATCTCCATTGATCATTTTGTAAACCTGGTGAGTCCCAGCAAATTTGCATCTTTAGAAAGAGTACAGTGAACCAAGATCAAAAGGAAGGAGTGTTCCAGTGGCCTCAGTCTCATTATACAAACAGATCTGTAAAGGAAATGAAATCTGTGGATAAGGATGACCTTTTAAGACCTCTCCTTTCCTGGAATTTCTGTTAGGAACAAGAAAGATACCTGATTTTCCACCATAGATAGTAAGTCAGTACTTGGGATCATAAGCATAAAAGAAATATTCCTAAAATTATGTCTAGGAGCAGGTCGTTAATTAACTCTGTGTGTGTGTGTGTGTGTGTGTGTGTGTGTGTCTGTCTGTCTACCAGCCAGTATCTGAATTCTTCTGAGGTTTCCCTATGAAAATCATGTCTATCTCCCATGAGAACCATGGGTTTTTCCCAAAGTCCATAAACCTTATGTAGCTATTTTCTTCCACCACTTTATAAGGCATAAATCAATCTTTCTTTTGCACTATTATCTGCAGTATTTTTCTATCCTAAGTAGGATCTTAATGCAGATCACTTAGGAGAAATGCTATGCAATTAACATTTGATGCTGTGGATAGTAGCAAATGAATTATATGGGCTAGTTTTTAATTACACTGGGTTACTAATTATAGAATACTTGGGCAAGATCTTTTCTTTGATTTTTTTCATGTGTTAACCTGTTTTTTCACTGTATCTATGTTTATGGTAGAGGAGACTGTTGTTTACCTGACTGCATGGGCAGAAACATATGGAGAAACAGAAAAAGAAAAACAAAAAGAAAGAAAAGGGAAAAAGCCACAGAGAAACATATATTAATGTTGAGTAAGGTTGAGGCTGAACTGTTCATATCATATTAACTAAGAAAGACTGCAATACTTCAAATATTTAAATGCTGTGGAGATGGGCTGAAGATACTTTCACTTTAAATATAAATAAGAATTGATATAGTTAATTATAATGGTGACAGTGTTGATGATGATGATAGTCAACACGACAGCATTGATGATATTCAATCAGAAAAAGAAAGCCTCTGCAAGAATAATTTTCAGCGTCCTCCTCTCTGTGCCTATGTGATAACACAAGGTGGGAATACAGGTGTTCCTCCAGATGAAGTGTGTTGACTATTGATCCTCAGTAAAGGAGAGAGGATACATAGGGAATGGATAGTAAATGCTGCAGTGATTGATTGGATATGAACTTGTTTGAGCAGAAAAATATCTAAGAAGATGATTGCCTGAAAGTGGTACCCTTCAGAGTGGTCCATTCTTAAATAAATAAGTAATCAGAATGAACATCAGTACCCACATTATGAAATGAAACATAGTAAATGTGGTACTCAGGACATCAAAGTTAAAGGCAGTGCAGGATTATACGTTATCATACACATACACAGAAGATAAAAGGAGGAGATACTGTCTTGAAACAAATTCCAGATAAATATAATGAATGATCACCTTAATGAACTCAGCCAAATGAACATATGTTTAAAAGATATCTTATGTCACATTTGATTGAAAAAGTGCAATAATCATCTTCACATGACATCCTGGCTTAGAGATGTGAGAGGCAATCTCCATTAACTTATATAGTTTGTAAAACGGTATCATTCTCTTAATAAATAAAAATGTAAAGATTTCTTCACGAGGACAAGTTCAGGATAACAATTGTATCAATCTGTGGATTAAGGAAGACTGATTAATATTTTACTGGATTCATCAGTGTTTTTAAACATGACTTTTCTGGGGTGCCTGGGTGGCTCAGTGGGTTAAGCCTCTGCCTTCGGCTCAGGTCATGATCTCAGGGTCCTGGGATCGAGCCCCACATCAGGCTCTCTTCTCAGCAGGGAGCCTGCTTCCCCCCCTCCACTCTGCCTGCTTCTCTGCCTACTTGTGATCTCTGTCTGTCAAATAAGTAAATAAAATCTTTTAAAAAAAACTTAAACAAAACAAAACAAAACAAAATATGACTTTTCTACCTTACAGTCCTGGAGTTTTTCAGAGGAACATGGATCACATGGATCCTGTTGCTATCCCAAAGTGGCAGAGGGCTGATGTTGGCCCTTAACTATCAGAGACACTGTGGGTATAGCTAAATCCCTTCCCACACATGTTCTCCAAACTCTTGCCAGTACAGATTGTTGTAGTCTTACAAGTTTTCAGTGAATAAACTAACTAAAATCAGAGAGGTGAGATTGGTTAAGAAGGATGTCATCTTACGTTTCGCACGAGGTTAATGTGCTGCCATTATTTTTCCAGAGTCCAAGCTTGCAAGTCTTGCATGTGTACTTCTTCAGTTTAATAATAAAAATACGTGTGTATTAAAAAAAATGAGTCATGTGGTTCCTTGACATCTGGATGATTAAGTCTAGAATGAAACACAGCATCATTACATAATTGTTGGGACTGTGACAATGAGGAAAAGGAACCCACATTTACAATGGAGTTGGGAGGTTCTGAGGGGTGCTCTCATGTACCTGCCACATGTTGTGTTTGCATAATCAGCAAGGAGAGGAAATTGTTTTGACAGGGGAGGACACTTTTCTCATAGGAATTTTATCTCCTACTCTTTTTTTAAATTTAAATTCAATTAGCCAATATATAGTACATCATTAGTTTCAGATGTAGTGTTCAATGATCAATTAGTTGTGTATAATACCCAGTGTTCATTCCAGCAAGTGCCCTCCTTAATAATCCATCACCCAGTCACCCCATCCCCCACCCATCTCCATTTCCATAGCCCTCGCTTTGTTTCCATGAGTCAAGAGTCTCTCGTGGTTTGTCCCCCTCTCTGATTTCTTCCTTCTCCTGCTTTTAAGAAAAAGAAAGACAATCCCTCCCTGTTTTAGTAGCAACACATTAACCACTGCCTGCAGCCAG